TGTTCAGAAGCAATTAGTGAAACATAAAGACATTTAAGAGTGAAATTGGTGGTGGATCTATTAATCGGGTTTTCACAAGTGTAAAGATATTTGTACATATAGGAACTTAGGAGAGGAAGAGAGAGAGAGAAAAAGAGAGAGAGAGAGAGAGAGAGAGAGAGAGAGAGAGAGAGAGAGAGAGAGAGAGAGAGAATAAAATAGTTAACATTTATATAGTGCAAAATGCATATATATAATATATGTAATATATGTATATTAGATATATATTATACACACATGTGCACGCACATGCGCACACTATTTTTTTTCTTGTTTGATTCTTACAATGACTCTTTAGGTTGATATGCTATTGTTACTCCATTTTATAGATAAAGAAGAGGCAATAAGTCAGGTTGATTTTAAGATCTGTCTTTGAATCACACCTCAGAAACTAGCCTCTGATAATGGAAAAATAACAATCTCTATGAGCCTCAGTTTCCTTATCTATATAATGTGGGTGATAACAATATAACTTGTATGCCAGTAAGTGTTCTGGATACTAATGAAATAAAGATGAAAAAAATAATACCTGCCCTCAAGGATATTATATTCTTCCATTACATGTGTGAAATACAAATATATGCAAAGTTGAGAAAAAGGTAATTTTTCAATATAAATATTTGAATCTCAAGGTTTTAGCCAAGACCTCATATAAGGATTGAGTTTTAATATGAAATTTGAAAGAAGCTAAAGATCCTTAGAGGCTGATCGGAGCATGATCTCACATCAGGAATGGGGACAGATTGTGAAAAGACATGGGATAGGAGATGCAATGATTTGCAATGTACAATGAATAGACTACTTAGCCTGTACTGTAGCATGAGGGAAGGGTAGCCATATACGAAAAGGCTGAAAAGTGGGCTGGTGCTATATTGTTAGGGGCTTAATAGGCCAAATAAAGGAGTTTTTATCTGACATTAGAAGTAGCCACTGGAACTACTGGATCAGGGAATGACATGAACAGAACTCTTGTTAGGCTGTGGAGAAGTAGAATGAGGAGACATTGAAGATGAAAAAAAGGTATCATTAAAGGAAAAATTTTCTTCAGGAGATGGGAGATCAGTGGCAAAAAGACTGGAAGTAGGAGGGCTACCTTGGCAAAGAAAAGGGGCAGCTCTTCCTCATATACTGCAACAAGGCAGGAGAGAGAATGAAGGATGGGATAGAGATGATTCAAGGTGTGGAGCAGGGAAGAAAATGAGTCTTATGACAGATGGCTTCTACTTTTCCTGTATAGTAGAAAAGAAAGCCCCTTGCTTAGAGAGTAACTATTTGAATATTTGATGAAGAAATGGTTGCTATACAATTGCTCATTTAAAAAAAACGGTCTCAGGACTTTAGTATACTGCAAGCTTCAGATGAGTCAACAGTGTGATATGGCAGCTAAGTCACATGTAGGCTGTCTTAAGGGGCTTAGTGTTTAGGACTAAGATGTGATAACACAGCTGCATTCTTCTAGTTGGCCCACATCTGAAGTGGTGTGTTCAATTATGAACTTACTATTAAGAAAAATATTGATAAGTTGGAAAACATCGTTTCTGCTCACAAGAAAATTTTGAGTCAATAGATTCTTTGCCTCCAATTTTTCACAACTTACTCATTTCTCAGTCCCATGCAAACTAGCTTGTATTCCTACCACTCTGTTTAAAGTATTTTTTTCCAAGCCATTAATTATCAAATCTCTTTTTTTAAACTTTCTGCTGAATTTTTTTTATTATCACTAGTTTTCAGGGAAGGAAGAGATCTTCCTTCTTGATAATCTCTTCTCTCTTGATCTCTGTTAACTCTACTCTGTTTCTCCTCAATGTTTAATTTTCATTTTCTTCACTTTTCTTCCACTTCTTCCTTAACTTTAGACATGTACAAAGGCTTTCTTTCTTTAAGGCCTCTCCTCACCTATCATTTCACCTCTTGCAGTCTCACTCCTTTGATGATGCTTCTTTTTTTTAAAGTAGATGCCTGCTAAATCTATATTTTCAGACCTATCTCCTGAGTTCTATTCTGTTTCATTTTCAACTGCTTGGTAGACAAATGCATTTAGATTTCCTGCTGACATTTCAAACCCAATCTTCCCCAAACTAAACTTATACTATTCCTCTATAAATGGGTTTCCCCCTAATTTTCTTAGCTGTACTTTTAACACCATCATTACCCAGAAATTCAGGCTTAAAATCTGTCTTCTCTGATTTTTGTCTCTGACCCAACTCCCAAATCCAATGAGCTCTCAACTCCATTCAGTTCTATCTAAATGTATTTCTTTTCCTTTCCTCTCATTTGTTTTTCTTTCCTTTCTTCTCCTCCCCTCTCCTCTCTTCTTTTCTCCTCTCCTCTTCTATTCCCTTTCTCATGAAGGCAATAATTAGAGGATCTATCCATGAACCTAATTCCACTGCTGACTGTCATAGAAATTTTCACCTGCTCCATTTCTAACCTAAACACTTGATTCCTCATTAGGTAACCTTGAGGACCCCTGTTTTTGGAAACTCATAATATTGATGCTGGACTTAATGAGGACACTTCATCAACCTTAGCCTTACCAAATCTCAGAGTTTCTTATCTCAAATGATCCACCGGTATTAACCTCACAGGTACAATAGCAAGTACTATTGGCATGAGCAAGCCCTGGCTCTTCTCCTTTCTATTTGCATGAACAAACCTGGATCAGACCTTTGCCATCTCTCCCTTGGGCTATTATGAAAGCCTTCTGCCTGGTTACCCTCAAAACTCTGAGTACCATTTTATCCACAAAATTTTCCCTGATGCTTCCATCAAAATATGTTCAAATTTATTTCCCCAGAATTATAATTATTTGTATACTGATACTAGCCCCCTGATAATGTCTTTTGGGTAGAAATTGTTATTACGTTTCCTTTTTTTTTATCTTGGTATTCTCAGTTCTTAGTATTGTGCTCTTTACAAAGCAGGTGTTTAATAAATGCGTTTTGAATTAAGGTGAATTGGATGTCTCTTCAAGTCTTCTCTTCCCTAAATTAAAAATTCTCAGACCTCTAAAATCATATTCATGAGAGGACATCCATCAATTGTGGAATGTCTGAACAAGTTGTGGTATATAATTGTTAATACTATTGTGCTATAAGAAATGAGGAGCAGGATGATTTTAGAAAAAACCTGGAAAACCTTACGTGGACTGATTCAAATTGAAGTGATCAGAAGAAGAAGAACATACTAACAGTAATATTGAACAATGATCAACTGTGAATGACTTAGCTATTCTTAGCAATGCAATGATACAAGAAAATTCCAAAGGATTCATGTTGACAAATGCTATATACCTCTAGAAAAAGAACTGATAGATTCTGAATGTAGATCAAATTATACTATTTTTTACTTTTTTTATTTTTGTGTGATTTTTTTGGTCTGTTTTCTTTCACAATATGACTAAAATGGAAATTTGTTTTGCATGACTGCACATGCATAACCTACATCAAATTGCTTACCATTTCTTGGTTTGGGGAGGAGAGGGAGGGACTAAGGAAGGAAGAGAATTTGGAAAAAAATTTAAAAAAAATTATAATTGTGTTACTTGTAATTGGAAAAATAAACTATTGTTAAAATGAATTCCATTAAAAATGAAATAAAATATTCATATTGCATGGTTTTGAATTCCTTCAGCACTCTTCTATCAAGCAAATTAAAATAAGTGCAAAAGTTTAAAGGAACTTCTTAGAACATTGAACTAAAAATGTAATTAGACATAGGTTCCCAGTCCCCCAAAAAGTAAACTTCAAATCCACTATGACAAGGGCATCTCACTCTTAAAAACAGACTCACTACTTAAGCTTTCAATGCTTAATTATATTACCAACACAGACATCATATTTCAAAAGAAATATTTCTAGGCTTATCAATTTGCTCCTGCCTTCTGGTTTTGGTACAAGACAGAAACATGCTAGTAAGTCTGTAAAATTGGCATACATTCATTAATTAATTTAATCAGAAGGAAAGTGATTTTTCATTGCAAACATCACTCAAGAACATCGCATAATTTTGTTAGTCTCAATTTGCATAATTAAATCTTAGCTACAAGATTCCAACTCAAACATCATAAAAATTAGAATTATCCATTATGTTTCTGATGTTTTGTTGATAGGTTTTTAGGAGCCAGTAATGATAATGTAAAGAAAAGAAAAGTCATTCTTTTTCATGATTTAAGCAAATTAGAGGATGAATGTTTCCTGTATGCTGTTTAGTAGATTGGGTCTACAAGTGATTTAAAAACATTTAGAATAGGAGGCAGCTAGGTGGTGCAGTGGATAGAGCACTGGCCCTGGAGTCTGAGTTCAAATCCAGCCTCAGACACATAATACTAGCTGTTTGACTCTGGGCAAGTCACTTACCCCAATTGCCTCACCAAAAACAAAACAAACAAACAAACAAACAAAACAACAAATGAAAAAACCCCACCACATTTGGAATATGGAAAGAAAGTAGTAAAATAAAATAGTTTAGTGTTCATTGAGATACTGATATTTTTATAATAGTCAAAATATTATTCTTAGTTCATTGCTGTCTTATTTATAGGAATATCATCTCCTCTTCATGATAATATGTGTCTTTAACTTTGAGGATTAGTTGTTTTTTTCTTTTTTTTTTTTTTAAAGGCAATTGGGGTTAAATGACTTGCCCAGAGTCACATAGCTAGTGTCAAGTAGTTGGTCTGAGGCCAGATTTGACTTCAGGGCCAGTGTTTTATAGCTGCCCCAGGATTAGTCCTAAAGATTTTATTTTCATTATATATGAGTACTAGTTTGTTATCATTCAGTTCAAGTTGCCACAGCATAGGAAACACATTGGAAAGATTCCAGCAGAGGACAGACAGGATGGTGAAAATCCTTGAGTACATTCAATAGAATGATCATCAAACATAAGAATTTTAGAGTTAGAAGAGACCTCAATAGTCATCTAGTTCTACCCATAACTAAAAAAAGAATCTTCCTTACCATATATTTGAAAAGTTATCGCCAAAACTTTGTCTTCTGTTTTTACATCATCATAATTATCACCAGTATGCCTCCCAATCATCTTCCCAAGGAACCATCCTATATTACAAATAATAATAAGAGGGAGACTTATCAAACTGTTTCTGTGACACATATATGGTACTGATACCTAAACTGGTATAGGGAACTTATCAAAAGTTATAAAATTAAGAGCCATTATCTAATTAATAAATGATCAAAGGACATGAACAAGCCATTTTCAAAACAAGAAATCAAAAGTATCAAAAGTCATATGAAAAAATGCTCTAAAACACTAATAACTAGAGAAAATGAAATTAAAATGACTCTGAGGTACCATCTCATATCCATCAGATTAGCTAACATGACAGAAAAGAAAAATAACAGATACTGAAGGGGATGTGGGAAAAATGCATCATTGGTAGAGTTGTGAATTGGATTCAACCATTATGGAGAAAAAAATAAGAGCTAGAAAACTGTACTTACCCAATAATTAAGAAATATTAATAGTATGTCTGAATCCCAAAAAGATCAAAAAAGAGGGGAAATGATCTATATATCCAAAACTATTTATAGCAACTCTTCTTGTGGTGGCAAAGAATTGAAAATTGAGGGGATGTCCAGCAATTGGGGAATTGCTGAACAAGTTGTGATATATGGTTGGGACAGAATACTATTACATCATAAAAAATGGTGAGGAGGATGGTTTCAGAAAAAAACCTGAGAAGACTCATATGAACTGATGCAAAGTGACGTGAGCAGATTGAGGAGAACACTGTATACAGTAACATAATTTTTGTAATGAAGATTTACCTTAAAAGATTAAATTACTCTGATTTATACAATGATTGAAGAAGACCTTTTCAAAGAACACACGATGAAAAATAGTATCCACTTCTAGAGAAAGTAGTGTTGAACTCCGAATGCATATTGCAGTAAAAATATTTTTTACTTTATTTTTCTTGCTTTAATTTTTTTGAACCATAGCTAATATAGAAATATGCTTTGTATCACTTAACATGTACAATGAGTATCATATTGCTTGCTTTTTCAGGGGGTTAAGGAGGCACTCAAGGAAAAGAATTTGGAATTCAAAATAAAAAAAAATACATGTTTTATAAATCTCAAAAACTATTAGTCAGGTTTAAATTTTTCCCTCCATTTATCTCTAATTTTGTGTTTTATCAAGATATAATTCTTTCATTCTTCCACTGCAAACACAGTATGATATCTCTTTAATTACTTTAGCTCAATTTTTTTTCAAAGTCTGGCTTATTTTCATTGGCTCTCTTACCTCCAATCTCTTCTTCCATTTGTTACTCCTATCCCTTTAAAGTTTTGCTTATTAGTACCTTTTTTTCTTGCTTGCTTGCATCTGATTATTTAATTATTCTCTTTGCTACTCACAGTCAAGTAGATTCTTACTTCCTCTCCACCTCTTCACATGGTTCTGTTTGTTAGGTTTATTTTTAATTCCATTTTTTGCACCCCTTTCCAAAGATGATTTCTCTCACTCATTCTCTTTCTACCTTCTTTTTCTGTCTATGCTAGGCTCTCTTTCTCTGGTTTGTGACCCTTCTCCTCATTAATTCCCTCCCTTTCTCTGCATTCCTCATTGAGTCAAAACTTCTGAGGCGCCCATTCTAGGCTCTCCCTTTCTAGACAGTTTCTAGGCAGTTTCACTGCCTTGTAGATTTTGACACACAGTTCCCCCCTTTTACATTGTGCATGGCTCCCAGAAAAAAAATCAATTACTACATGTGACAGAGAGAAAACTGTCCCACAGGAGCCCTCCCACCCCTTGCCATGTGCCATGACTCTGATATGAAAATTATGCGACTCTGACTTACATCTTCTCTTGTCAACTTCCTTCCCCATTAGCTTCAAAATATCCTGCTGCTCCATCCGGTGGATAGCATTTCCCTGAAGAGTTCTAACTCCTCTTTTCTCAAGGCAAGACAAGTGGTCTTTTTGAGTACCAAATCCCCCAGAAAATACCCAGCAATTTCCCCCTATATTTCTTCACAAAATATAATTTTTCACCTATAGAAACATTCATCAGCATCAGTAGATTCCCCACCTATGATAAAAAACAAATTCTCTGTCTTTCCTCCACTTTTTTTTTTGCTTTTTTTCTTTTTTTTTTTTGGCGAGGCAGTCGGGGTTAAGTAACTTACCCAGGGTCACACAACTAGTAAGTGTCAAGTGTCTAAGGCTAGATTTGAACTCAGTTAGGTCCTCCTGACTCCAGGGCTGGAGCTCTATTCACTGTGCCACCTAGCTGCCCTTTTTCTTCCTGTTTCAATTCTTCCCCTTCCTCCTCATCTGCTTCCCTATAGACTTGTTTTCCTGGGAAATGATAAGGACCAACTTCCCTTTATTTCTAGACCTTAATTTTGTCTGGGCACATCACAGACTCCTATCTGTCCTCCTTCCCTTGCCTTTTCATACATCATCCCATTTTATGATATAGTGCTATGAAAGAATTTGTTTTATCCATAGGGGGATTATTGTAAGGTTCTGACCATAATGTCCCGGGTCTGCCTCTCCACCTGACTTTCTTCCACTTGACTTCCACATTAACCTTTATCTCCTTGTGTACCCTCCTACTGATCTCTCTGTTGTCACTCTATTGCTGTTGCTGTCCTTGGCTTCTACAGGTATTCACCTCTCCTTCTTTTCTGTTGTCTGGGTTGTTTGCAGGGAAAATAATCTCTTCAGGTATAATGTTCTTTATAAGAATGTTTTGTACACCTCTATATTATTTTTCACTTATAGTTAGGCTCATATTTGTGGGGTAGATAACCCTGGGAATCCTGAGCTGCATCATTCTTCAGAACACTTTATAACTTTCTCTCCTTTATTTTCTGGTGGGTGCAAAAGTGTGTTATTCAAACTTTCTTTCCTGTGTATTTAAAGGTCTTCCTCCTCATCATTTATAGAATATATCGTTTCTCAATTGAATTACTAAATTTAACTGCCGTTTGTCTTGGAGTTTACAGCCTCTCCTTTTTTATTTTTTTCTGGAGCAAAGCTATCCATTCTTCCAACTGACATTTCCTTTTCGGTGTCCAGAAACTCTAATAAGTTTTCTTCTACTATTTCTTGTAACATGGTGTTTAGTTTTTTTTTCCTTTGTTTCTTTGTTTCTTTGTTTTTTATTTGTCCTGTTCTACTAAGAGATCTATTATACCTTGGTTGTTTCTATGCAGCCTGTCCTCAAGGGCAATATGTTTTGCTTGAATTGGGAGTATGTTTTATTTTAGTGTTATTGCTTTTTGCTTTACTTCTTCTATATTGTCCTTGCTTCTTAGTATTTGCCTTCCCAATAATTTGTCCTCCCTTTTATTTCTGTGATTAGACATTTCCTTACAGATTCAAATTTTTCTATTTTGCCAAATGTTTCTTTTGTGAAGGGTGTAAATTCTGCTTTTATAATTCTCATTTCTTTTTTGATCCACTCAGGAATATATCATGTTGTGGTACCATGCTCTCTTTGGATTCGAGGCCTGAACTTATTTATTTGATCCAGAGTTTACATTTCCTTCTACTGTTAATATTTTCCCTGTTAATTTGTTAATTTTCCTGATTATGCTCAAGATCTTTCCCTTTTCTTTCTCCTTAGATCTTTGGTAATTTTAATCTTCCCCTCCCCTTATTTTCTTCTATTACTCACTGTTTCTCTGATGGTAATTTTCCTGAGGGCTGGTTCTCAAAGCATCTCAGTCTCTTTCCAAACTGAACAAATTCACAGTTCACCAGCCTAGGTCTGTGCCCTAACTGATGTTTGGGGGACAGAACTGGCCCCAGTGTTAGGCTCTTTGGCTCAAGATTAGTAGAGTGTTATACATCCCTACATTCCTCTCCCTCACAATGGTCTATCCCATTCTCTCTATTCTTCAGTTCTCTGGCCAAGCAGTATAGGGCTCTACCACACTGATGTCATAGCAGTGAGATTTAATTTCTGTCATTTGGAGTTTGGATCTCTGAGGATCTGGGAAGAAGGGGGAATTCAGGTTATGAAGCTAAGCCCTATTTTCAGCATAGACACATGTCATGAACTTTCCCCTTATTCCCTTGCTTTTCTGCAGAGATGTTTTGAAGTTCAGAGCCTTGTGCTGTATTCCTGACTGTTGAGGCCTTAATAAATGTCCACAGTCTAGAGCTTGGATGTCCAAAAACTGGATAGAGGGAGGGAGGATTCAGGTATGAAGTTGAATTGTGTTTCAGGCCCATTAATTGAGTGACCAATGCAGCCTTCCTACTTGCAGCCTGGTGGTTGGTAAGGGAGAAGGCAACAAGACCTTGCAGCTCTCATTTTCTACATTTCTGACCTTGACTTCTAATTGCTGTACCTGACTTCACCCAAATCCCAATCTTTTACTTTCTGGTCACAGTCAAACATGACTCCTGACTTATGGCTTTTTGTGTGTCTTTGTGTGTGTGTGTGTGTGTGTGTGTGTGTGTGTGTATTTATCAGAATAAATGGACTCTGCCTTGACTCCAAACTCAGCCCACATGGAAGCTTCTCAGGAAGGTGCTGAGAATTAACTTATTAAATATTCCTAATTAGTTCCCAAAGTGACTCTGGCTAAGACACAGTTATAATGGCTATTCCACCAAATATATTGTAGTTTGAAGCACTAGTCCATAGTATGGTGGAGCCTTTTGTCATACTGAGATTGCCGACTTTTATTCAAAGAACCATACAGTTACAATTATACCTTCTAATTTCCATTTTCTTTAATGACCCAGGATGATTCTTAACCCATATTCTTTGAATCCTTGAGACTTAGGTTAAATGATTTCTAGTAATTAAATGCTATTTGAAGAAAATGAATCTCCTCACAGGAACATTATCAACATTTGTTTCCAGTTTTGTTCTATCCTAATACAAAACTTATATTTAATATATTATTCCAATTAAATATCTCTATGATTATTTTAAGATTCTTATCCTTTAAAATGAGTGGGGAGCCCTCCTCTCAAATATATTAAAATTCCTTCTTCTGTCTGATGCTTTATTTTCCTTATACTACTAATGTCCTGAGAAATGAGTGATCTTTAATTTTCTTTGTTTTATTTTAACTTTATATCTATTGTCTTAGGGATTTTGTTCTACTTTCTTCATGATGCACAGATTTCAGTGTCAGAACATTAGAGAGTGTCAGAATATTTTGTTATTGTTGAATGCCCATAACATAGTGCTTGGCACATAGAAGACACTTACAAATCCTTATGGACTGATAAATCTTTTATGGATGGATAAATCTTTGATTAAAAGATTTAATTTACATATATTTCTACTATGACAAATATTGAAAATATGTGAACTTAAGCCAATGTTGTTGGTCTTTCTCAGCATTGTTTCACCTAATAATACAGAATGGCCATATGTTTTCTCTGCTTCATATAAGAAGAGATGAACCTGGGCACAATTATCAGAGAAAGGTCAAACTGGTGTAAACCTCTATCACATGACCTAAAATATATTTATGCAAACTGATCTGCAAAGCTAAAGTGAAAATAGACAAAGGGAACAAATGCTAATGCTCTTACTGTACTAATTTGGAGGAAAGAAATATGAAATAGTAATTCCCTTTGGGATCTTGATAGAAATAGTCACATAAATCTATTGACTAGAAATAGCAAATATTTGATAAAGAGGTGCTTAAGTGCTCAGGAGGTAAAGAACTCAGAAAACACTAACCAGAATTTTTTTTTAAAGTGCTACACAAATAACCTACTAAGTAGAAGAATTGGGAAACCTATAAAAAGAAATAAAAAGATATCTAGAAGCACAAGAGTGCTTCTAATAATAAACATATTCACATTCTTAGCCTTTTTCTACTCACCATAAAAGTTTTTTTCATGTACATTCACAATAGACTAATAAAGGAAAAAATGCACCAAAGTAATCTTAGGAGTAGCACTATGTAATCGATTTCTATTTCTTTTCCTAAAGAGAAAGACGCATTAGAACTCCTTGGGAAGGAATAAGAAATAAAACAAACAAATATTTTCAGTAATAATGGCACTACAATGAACAGTGTGTAAGATTTAAATAGAGCATTTCTGAATTTCAAGGACTCAGTTACCATTTTTAAGCTGTTTAAATCTCTATTGGAGATACAGGTGAAATATCTTTTGCTATCTCCATAAGGTAAGGGTTTGAAAGGTCAATTTAATTAACAAATAGCCCATAAAGATACAGAGCTAAGATCTTGTCTCATTGTATCAATCTAGTGTTTGGATCATAGAGTTATTGAATTAAGAATGAATGAAAATGGCATGAAAGGGAGCACTATAACCAGTGCTTCATCCAATTAAGTTCCCAAGATGAGGGTTCAGCCAAGCACTCAGCCTTATATGTCATGTGCGTTAGCTAACACAAGAGGGCACTTTGAAATAGTAGCCAAGATCCTTTTGCCATTCAGAGAGTTGATTGCTAACCTTAACTCTGCCCCTTTTATCTCACCTAGTTAATTGCTAAGTATTTAGGGATATAGCAAAACTCTCTATTGAGGAAATTCGTACATTACTATGTCTTAGGATCATGAATTTAGTGCTGATAAATGCTTTTAAAGTCATCTAGTCTAGGGCTTCTTACACTTTTTCCATTGGTGACCCCTTCAGCACTTCTTCAACTGTGGGTCCCGACCCCATGTGGCATTGCCAATCTAGTCCAACCTCATTTTACAGATGAGAAACCTGAGGTCTATTAAGTGACTTGATGAAGGTGGGATTTGGACCCAGGTTTTCTGAATCTGAAGCTCAGATTTTTTTTTCTACTACGTCATCTAAATAATGATAATAGCTAGAATTTATATTTAGCTTTAAAGTTTACAAAATTTACAAATATTATCTCAGAAACTCACAACAACTCTAGAAATGCTATTATTATCCCAATAGGAAACTATGTTTCTGTTTCCTCAAGAGGAAACTGAGACACAGGAAAGTTAAACGACGGAGCTAATAAGTGTTTGAGGGTAGGCTTGAACCTTGGTCTGTCAAGTTAAATTTCAGGTCTAACACTATCCACTGAGTATTTAGCTGGACAGCAGTTGCTTGATAGAGAGAAAGTCTCTGGGAAGAACTTGACATGTAGAAGAGCAAACACCTCTTTTATTTCTGTATCGCCATCTTACCATACCAGAGACTTTGGGAAATTTCTCCTTGGGTGAGATCAGATACTTTCTGTGTGTCTGTCTCAATCTCTCTCTCTCTCTCACTCACTCTTGAGCTGAGATTCCTGGCTCAGCATTAGAGAGCTCATTTATTTTTTTATTTTTAAAAATTGTTTAGTATTTTATTTTTCCCCAGTCACATGTAAAACAAAATTTATCATTCATTTTTAAAATTTTGAGTTCCAATTTCTCTCCCTTTCTCCATCCCTAACCCTCCTCATTGAGAAGACAATCAATTCAACATAGGTCATACATGTGTAGTCATTCAAAACATTTTCGTAACAGTTATGTTGTAAAAGAAAACATAAAAAAACTCAAAAAAATAAAGAAAATAAATAAAGTATGCTTAATCTGTATTCGGACATCATCAGTTCTTTCTCTGGGGATGGATAACATTTTTCATCATAAGTCCTTCAGAGTTGTCTTGGATCATTGTATTGCTGAGAATAGCTAAGTCATTCAGAGCTAGTTATCTTACAATATTGCTGTTACTTTGTACACTGTACATTTCACTTTGCATCAGCTCATGTTACTCTTTCCAGGTTTTTTCTAAGAGCATCTCACTCATTATTTCTTATAACAAAACAGCATACCATCACAATCACATAGCACAATTTGTTCATCCCTTTCCCCAACTGATGAGCATCCCCTCAATTTCCAATTCTTTGCTACCCAAGAAGAGCTACTACAAATAATCTTGTACATATGTCTTTTTCCTTTTTTTTCCCGATATCTTGGGATACACAGCCTGTAGTGGCACCACTAGGTCAAAGGGTATGGGCACAGGTCCAAGTCACTCTACAGAATGGTTGAATCAGTTCACAACTCCAACAGTGTTTTAATATCTGATTTTTCCCACATTCCTTCCAATATTTCTCATTTTCCTTTTCTGTCCTATTAGCCAATTTAATAGGTATGAGGCAGTACCTCTGAATTGTTTTAATTTGCATTTCTCCAAGCAATAGTGTTAGAGAATTTTTTTCATATGATTATAGATAGACTTGATTACTTCTTCTGCAAAATGTTCATATTTTTTTTATCATTTATCAATTGGGGAATGGCTTTTACTTTTCTAAATTTGACTTCTATGTTAGGGAAATGAGGTCTTTATCAGAGAAACTTGCTTCAATTTTTTTTTCCACAGTCACTACTGCTAACTGTATTCCTTTCCATCGTATCCCCTTCATTTATTCTATTCTCTCTCCTTTCACCCTGTTCCCCCAATTTGTTCTCGATTCTATCACCCCACCACCCTTCTCTTATCCCCTTCCCTTCCTACTTTCCTGTAGGGTAAGATAGATTTCTATACCCCATTGAATGTATATGTTATTCCCTCCTTGAACCAATTCTGATGAGAATGAAGTTCACTCACTTCCCCTCATCTTTTCCCCTCTGCTGCAGAGGTTTTTTTTTTTACTGCCTCCTTTATATTATATAATTTACCAGATTCTACCTTTCTCTTTTCCTTTCTCCCAGTACATTCCTCTCTCACCTTCTAGTTTTACTTTTATAGATATCACTCATTCATATTCAACTCACATCTGTGCCCTCTGTGTATATATAATTTTTCTGACTGCCTTAGTAATGAGATAGTTCTTATGAGTTACAGGTGTCATCTTCTCTTG